AGGTTTATTTGAAATCACAAGCTTTCAGAGCCTTCCTCCTTTTTCAGGTGTTAGTGAGAGAGGTAGTATCAGACCCTGAATTTATAAGTAAAAGATCAAAGGGTCACTCAACTGATGAGGATGTACTAAACAAACCTACGATGCAATTAAATCTTTAATCAGTTAGAAGGTTTTAATTGATTAATATGTATATGTAAATTCCTGAATTCCTTATCAAGTCACTGTCCTGAAAGAACTAAATGTTTTATCAGTTTAAAGAAGGGGTGACATTTTAGGTCAGACAATGTATGTTAGGTGTGAACCTTGTTTGGAATCTGTTTGTGTCTTGGTTTGGAGTCAGACTGGTTTTATTTCTAAAGTAGGAATTTATAAAACACCACATTGACTGACTGTCTATAAATTGTGTGCTTTTTGAATAAAATAGAACATATCTGCAAATACAAATTCACCCCATAGATTCACATGTGTGTGTGTGTGTGTGTTTGTTTGTGTGTTGGAGGGGTGAGGATGGGGGGATGTAGTGGTGGGGTGAAGAGAAGCATTGAGACTGTGTGTGTGTGTGTGTGTGTGTGTGTGTATGTGTGTGTGTGTGCGTGTGTGAGAAAGAGAGAGAGAGAAGACAAGATCACATGTCATCTCTTCTTTACACTGATAAGACCTTTAGTTGTCTCAGGACAGTGACTTGATAAGGAATTCAGGAATTTACATATGTGTATTAATCAATTAAAACCTTCTAACTGATTAAAGATTTCACAGCATCTTAGGTTTGTTTTATATATCCTCATCAGTAGTGTGACCCTTTGATCTTTTACTTTTAAATTCTGTGACTGATATTACCTCTCACTAACACCTAAGAAGGAACGAGCCTCCGAAAGCTTGCATTTTCAAATAAACCTGTTGGACTATAACCTGGTGTCGTGTGATTTCTGACTATGACCAAGCCAATTTTGTATCAAACTTACTAGCTCAATATAGATCTCATGTGACTTCATCTTCTGGTCCAGCCTACCGTGAGAAATAACATGCCCATGTATTGTCATCTTATTCAATGGAACAAATTCTTGAGAAATAACTATTCCCTGAAACTATTGTCCATGGCAAGTCATAACCAAAGTTGACTTGCCTGATTTGAATATGGACAAAAGCCTGGAATATCACAGCTACTTGATATATTTTCCATGATAAGGCCTGTGCCAATCCGAGACAATACCAACCAATCAATCATTTTCCTTAGTCATTAGAAATTGCAGTTCTCTTGAAATTTGGTTTTCTTGTGTTTTGTCCTGATGAGTGCAGGATGAAAAGAGTTGGCAGAATGTCTCTTTTTACAACAACACTCAAGTTCTGTACTATTAAATGAATGTTTATATTTTTCTGTGTTTGTGAATGGGATGTGAATGTCACTGGCAAGGTCTGTGTTCAGTTGTCCACCTCTAGTTACCCTTGAGATGGTATTTTGTGTGTAGCCATCCATATATTCTAAGTGTATGGCTTCTTTAAGGCTTATGTTGTATAGTGTCAACTAGGTTGGCCACCTTTGGTTCTGATATGAAATGTCTTGTAGAGTAGGCAAGTTGCTGCTTATCCCATGTCTGCAACCATTTAGAAGTTAAAAGAATAGATTTTATATCAATACAAAGACTATTAGGAGGTCCTAGCTTCCATGACCCTCCACTTACTCACTCGCATTTTATGATATCACAGTGGATGGTTCTTATTGCACTCAAATTTCTTATTTTACAGTAATTAATCATAGGAGATTCTGCTTTTTAGTTTAGCTTCCACCATGATTATAGAGCCCAGAAAAACCTTCTCCTGGCTGTTCCTTGGCAGGAAATGGACCAGTTGTTCCTGGACCTTTTTGTTATTTAACTCCTTCCACTTTTGCATGAGTTTGAGGTCAATCCATATCCTTGTCCTCAGAAGTAAGCATTCCTGTTTGTGAAATATATATACGTTTTCCAGTATTTTGTTTTCCCTATGTTGGAGTGTTGTCAGTAGCATACTTTTACCATTAAGTGCCATGCTTTTTGAACTATGTACTCATGTGCATTTTGTCAACTCAGGTTTGCTGTCTGAAAATATTGTAACACTTTTTCCCAAGTCGAACTTGAAATTCATGAAATGCTTACTGGCATAAATGGCAGCTTGTGAAAATGTTTGGTTTGGGTCACAAATTTTTCTCAGGAAAATCTTGGATTGGTCTTCTGCTTCAGACTGTTCTAACTTATTTAACACTTGTAAAGTGGTCTTTTGCTTCTTTCTGACTGTGTCCTACCAAGCTTCAGAAATTTTTCTGAAAGTGACCTATTATTTTACAAAAAAAACATTCAATTTTATTGGCTGGACACTGTTCATATCTGTGGGACTTTTTTGCTCCACAACATTGGCAAGGACGTTTAATATCTGCTGACTATCCTAACCAACATTTCGGGTTATCACTTGTCTCCATTGTGGCTGTATACCATGAGAATTGACTGAATTTCAAAAATCTGTGTGAAATTAATCTTATCTCCTAAGAATTTGGGCTATGTTATTTCTAGACCTCAGCTTCACTCATCTGAATGGCCATTTCCAGAATGATCTTCTTTAGACTGTAACAAATCTGACAAAGATTCAGCCATAATATCTATAATAATTCTATTCCTTATGAATTCCAATGTTAATTCAACATTGTTACATTGTTCCCTTTGTCTGCAGTGATAATGAAAGGTCATCTATGGATTCCCCTGTTTTCTATATTCTTCTGTTAAATCTTGTTCTCTCAAGAAATTTTTCAGTTCCAAAATTAAAATATTTTCATAGGCTTTCAGCACCACTTCACAACTTTTACTTCTAGGTGAACAGTAACTGTTATCTGCTATACTCCCAATAGTGTACAGAAGTGTATTTATCTGTTCAGCTTTTAATTTAATATCCAATTTAGAAGTTATTCTACAGCTACACAGGTGGCACAGTGGCTCAGTGGTTGGCACAGCTGGCTTACAATGCCAGGGACATGGGTTTGATTCCAGTTTTGAGTGACTGCATGTGTGGAGTATGCATGTTCTCTCCCTGTCTGTGTAGGTTTCCTCTGGATGCCCTGGTTTCCTCCTACAGTCCAAAGATGTGCAGGTGAGGTAGATTGGCCATGCTAAATTGTCCTTGGTGTTCAGGGATCTGCAGGCTAGGAGCATGAGGCAAGGGAAATGCAGTGTTACATGGATAGGCTAGAGGGATGGTTCTGGATGGGATGCTCTTTGGAGGGTCAGTGAGGGTTCAATGGGCCGAATGGCCTGCTTCCACACTGTAGGGATTCTATAATTCAAGAATTTCCTCTAGGATGTATTTTCTTTGTTCTAAATTGTTTTGCATGAGTTTCTGTCTTGGACCTGTTAGTCCAGTTTTCTTTCTAGCTGTGACTTGCACTATCTCAAAATGTTGTCGGCCATTGCCAATCAGAGCTACAATTCTTTTTTCATTCTCCTCTTTCTTTCTGAATTACTGTGCCTTTTAAAGCTTTCGCTTTATACCAAGGATTTTTAGTTTTGACCCACACAATCTCCGATGTCTGCCTGGTTGCATTCAGAATTGGGACCTCTCTCACAGACCTTGACCTCATGATACAGTTTACACCTCTAATTGTATAAGTTTTCTTTGGTACTCATTGTCCTTATAAATCAGCCTGTAGATGGAATTCACACTAAATAACAAATGGTGACATCACAGGGTTTTTAAATTTAATTTTCACACTGTAGTTTGGAGAAAGAACTGACCACTTCTGAATTAGAATTAGAATTAGGTTTTGTTGTCACATGTACTCAAGTACAGGGATACAGGTGCACAGTGAAAATGTACAATGCCGCCATTCCTGGCACCATTTAGGTAAAAAATTTTAGGTATAAGGTAGAAAAATAAGGAATAAAGTTAAAAGTTCAACATTACAGTCCTTCTTAAGTGCGTAGCCATGCTGGGCTTGCGTTCCCTACAAGGGTTTGATCTCCATCCTGGGCTCGCTGACCCCTGCACTCAACACTGCCACAGATAATGGGGGATCTCTATCACTACCGCCCTGGGCTCGCACTCCAATGCATTGGGCTCGCTCTCCTCCACGCCACACCAAAGTCAACTCCCTCCACAGCCACCGCCAGGAAGATAATGTGCCTCAGACACGCTAAATCCTTGAAGCTGCCGATCTCTCCTGCCCGGAGCTCACCTGCTCTGTCCGTTTTTACTTTTATTTTTCCTCCTCTTTCACAACTTTTTTTCTCCTTAATTTAAACTAGGGAAAAAACAGTTGTGAAAGAAGAAATAAAAAGTAAAAGCGAATGGAGCAGGTGAGCTCCAGGCAGGAGCCCGCAGGCTGCGCTGCTATTCCTTCAGCATCTGGTCACATGTAAGTCTGCTTAATGTAGAAACGCATTTTTTTCATATTTACAACTAATATTTCCATCTCAAAGTGTTTTGGAGTTGTGATTTTTTGACCGTTTAACTGCCTTTTTGTTAAAATCAGTCTCTCAGATTTTCTTAAACCCACATTTAGTGGTTAGATTGCAACAGTAAAGTAGCATTCTTCCAATAGCAGGTCATGCTTCAAGTGATTCAGGAGTAAGCTGGAGTAGGAAACCTTTATAGACTTATAACTTTAGATCACATGCTATGATATACTGATGACATCATGAGCACATCTCTTACTGGTGAACTGACATACTGACCATGAGACATAACAACAGAAAGCAATGTTGTTTCCTTTCATTTCTTAACAGTATCCACAAGTCCACACATTTCCTGATATCCCCAAAGCCACGAGTTAAAGATGCAACTGCTGGAAAAATTGTTTTATAACAATAGTATTTAATATTTGCTGTACAAGGTGTGGAGGAATTAGATTCACTTAAGCCATATTTTTATTGAATGCATTAGTTTCCACAAAGACAAAAAAGGACAGTAAAAAAAGAAAAACAGTGTGTCCAATTCATATGGTTAAGAATTTGCTGTAGATTTTGCAAAATGATTGTGAGATTGTATTTCTTCAATCTGTATTACTTTGCCAGCTCCTCAGATTACCAGTCCCTTGGAGACAGTGGACGCTTTGGTTGAAGATGAAGCTTCTTTCCTGTGTGGTGTGGACTCATATCCAGCAGCTGAGATAATCTGGACTCGTAATAACATTCCAATAAGGTGAGAACATACTGAAGTTTGAAAGAAGCACATTTTGGCTTCCTTCACTGCAAAGATTCAGAAAGAGGTCAAAACAATACAGCATATTAGAGTCACACTTTGGCCATAGAATTTTTGCCTTATATGAGACGGTACTGTGATCCAGTAGTTCATTGACAGGAGTATACACATGACTATAAGAACATCAAAGCTATGAAATAATGTAGACTCTTTGACCCCTCGATCCTGCTGTCTTATTTCACAAGATCATGGGTGATGTTTCACTCTCCTGCCCTATCTCCACATCCCTCAATTCCCTTAGTGCTCAAGAACCTAGCAGTTTTAATCTTGAATAGATTCAAGGACTGAGCATCCACAGCTCATAACGGTAGAGAATCGCGAGCAATTCAAAATCCTTTAACTGGAAAAATTGTTCCTCATCTCAGTACTAAATAACTGTGATCTTTCACCCTCCTAATTCCAGGCCCTCCTGCCATGGGGAAAAAAAACTTCTCGGCACCAAACCTGTCAAAACATCTAGATTTGTATCCATTTCAATGAGATTTCATTATTCAAGCTCTAGAGAATGTAAGTTCTGTCTATTCAATCTCTCCTCACAGGACAGTTGGTTCATTCTGGTGCGAATTATGCAATGACAAAACTATGGTGTTTTTTAAACTTCAGATTTTCAACTACATGTTCCTTTGTCTCTCTGTTTGATCCCACAGAAGGGGATGCTGATAGGTTGGGCTTGCACACCAATATCTCCCTAATAAGAAATAGGTGTGAGAAATAAAGAAGCAAAGAATGTCCAAAGCAAACAAACACTTAGAAATTGAGGAGAAAGAGGAGAACAGATAGTCATTGAGTCACTCCTCACGATCCAAAGGGAGAATCTCATGTGGCTCCAGCTTCCAATCGGCAGCTATACATAGTGAATATTGGCAGTCTATCTGACCACAGGAGATTATCCACACACTTGTAGTAACATTCCTGTAAGGTGACAACACCCAACTCCTCAGGTCACTGGATGACAGTCAAGAGTAGGAATTCTAGCCAATTTTCCTTTCTTCAATCCAGAGAAAAGAGGTTACCTCAGTGCAGGCGGGGATAAATGTTTTCATTGGAATTTTTACAGTCGAGTATTAGCAATAAATGAAGAACGCCTTTACTTTTATGATTTTGAATCTCAGTTTTTCTAAACTTTAAATTTTGTTTTTCATTATTGCTGGTTCTTAGTACTACACCAATCAGGGGCTGTTGAAGTTTTGACTCCTCATTTGTGGTGAATAAACTGAGCAGTTCTGGAGTCCCTACCATTGACCTCAGTATTCCTAACTTAAAGAAAGGGTCAATCAGCCAGGGGTCTCACCACTGATCACCATGTAGAGAACCATGCTGAAAAATGCACATGCATCTCAGCCATTGGGTGAGGACAGGTTGGGTTTAGCTTCAATGACCATCCAAGGTCAAGTAACATTCACATCTCACAAGGGCCAAGCAATGCCCACCTCCAACAAGCGAGAATCTAACCTTCTCCCCTGACATTTATCAGAATTACAAGCATCAAAATCATGCCAAACAGCATTAACCAGAACTGGAGCCTGCCTAGCCATATTTTGAATTGTATTGACTTTACTGTCACAGATACTCAAATGATAAATCACCACTTACAGTGCCATCTTAGGTAACCTAGGTACAGCTTCTTCAGTTACAGATTAGTTACAGTGTAACAATGTCACCAACACAAAGCACCATCTTAGGTACTTAGTACCTGGTTTCAATCCTTAGGCGCACAGTAGAGAAGTGAAGAAAAAAAAGTTACATTACAGCTATTAATTGTACAACTATAGGTCAGAAAGTCAGAAAAATAAATTAAAAAGACAAACATCACAGTCTCTCTCTAAAGGCTCTCCGCAGCAGACCAGCACAGGGGAACCTCATGTGGTCTAACCGCTGGCTGCTACCAAACAATGCGCTGGGCCAGTGGCCCCACTTCACACCGGGTCACTGTGTCCCCACTTCACACCGAGTCACTGACCCCACTTCACACCGAGTCACTGACCCCACTTCACACCGAGTCACTGTCCCCACTTCACTCCGGGTCACTGTGTCCCCACTTCACACCGAGTCACTGTCCTCACTTCACACTGAGTCACTGTCTCCACTTCACTCCTGGTCACTGTGTCCCCACTTCACACCGGGTCACTGGTCACTGGTGTCCCCACTTCAGAGGCTGGGAGTCAGAGGCTGGAACTGGATGTCTGATGCCGAGAGAAGGAAGGAAAGAGGGAGAAATTAAGTACTATGACCAGAAAAGCAAACCAGAGCCTGGAAATTCTACAGCAAGTAACTCACCTCTTATCTCCCCAAAGACTGTCTATAATTTCCAAGGCACAAGGCAGGAATTTCACGAAATACCCTCCCCTTGCCTGGCTGAGTGTAGCTGTGACAACACACAAGAACATCGACACCATCAGGACAAAGCATTTCCCTTTCTTGATACTCCATCCAATACCTGAAATATTCACTGCCTATGCCAGCAGCACACAGTGGCAGCAATGTGAACCATCTACAAGATGCACTGTAGCAACTCACCAGCACTCCCTTCTCGACAGCACCTTCCAAACTTGCACTCCTAACATCTAGAAGGATAAGCGCGGTAGAATCCTGGGATTGCCAGTAGCTGCAGGTTCTCTTCCAAGGCAGATTTCATCTTGACTTGAAAGTATATTGCCATTCTTTTGGTGTCTCTAAGTTAAAAATATAGAGGTCTCTAACAGCTCTGGGAGTCACAAGGACCACGGGGTTTCAAGAAAGTAGCTTAGTGCCACCTTCTTCAGGGCAACTAAAGAATGGTGATAAATATTGAGCTATCTATCAACACTCACATCCTATGAAGAAATTTTCCAAAAATCACTTGAGTGAGCAAATGAACAAAGGTTGGAGTCAATTCCTAGGATAGAAATGGAAGTGTTTATTTTGTCTGCTTGAGGGAGACATTTCTTATTTATCGAGTCATATTGCATGGAAATGGACCTTTCGGTCCATCTCGTCCACACTGACCATGTTCCCAAACTACGTTAGCTTGCTGTCTCTCCTTGGATGCTGCCTGACCTGCTGTGATCTCCAGCATTTGTTGTTTTCAGTAAAATAGTCCCACTGCCCGCACTTGGCCCAAATCCCTCCAAACCTTTCCTATTCATGTACTTATCCACATGTACTTTAAACATTATAACTGTACCTGCATCCATCACTTTTTCCGGCAGTTCATTCCACACATGAACCACTCGCTGTGTAAAAAAGTTGCTCCTCATGTCTCTTTTAAATCTTTGTCCTCTCACCTTCAAAATGTGCCCCTAGTTTTGAACTCCCCATCCCCCTCCCAAGGGAAAAGACCCTTGACATTCACCTTATCTGTGCTCCTCATGATTTTATAAACCTCTGTAAGTTCACTCTCAACCTCCTCTGCTCCAGTGAAAAAAGTCCCAGCTTTTCCAGTCTATTTTTATAGCTCAAACCCTTCATTTCTGGCAACACCCTGGTAAATCTTTTGTGAACTGTTTCCAGTTTAACAATATGCATCCTATAACAGGGTGATCATAAATGCACAGAGTACTTCAGAAGAGGCCTCACCAATGTCCTGTAAAAGCTCAACATGAAGTCCCAACTCCCCAACTCCTATGCTCAAATATCTGAGCAATGAAGGCCAGCATGCTAAATGCCTTCTTAACCACCCTGTCTATCTGTGACAGAGATTTCCAAAAGTTATGTACCCGAACCCTTAGGTGTCTGTTCTACAACACTACCCAGGGCTCTTCCATTAATTGTATAACTCCTGTATTTGTTTGTATTCCCAAAATTACCAAAATATGTGTTTTGAAAGTGCTGTGGTCTTTTACATTTCTTATAATACACAATGAAAAGAATCAAAAATGTTCTAGAAAATATTTAATATCATATTACGACAGGAATGATTATCACTTATTATGTACCTTGTCAAACAAACTCTGGGCCACATGGGGTACATGTTATATACAAAAGTAAATGTGGTTGAAACAATGTAAAACAGATTGAGAAAGAAAGTCATCAGAAACAAGAAGGTTTAAATATCAGAAAAGATTAAGTAGGCTGTGCTCATTTTCTCGAGAAAAGAAAAAGCTGAGGAGTGAATTGATAGAGGTTTTTAAGACTAAGGTACAATAGGGTTGATGTAAAGAAGGTGTTTCCACTTGTGAAGAATTAAAAACTAAAGGTCATCAATATAAGACAACCACCAATACATTCAAATAAACAATTCAAAAGAATCGTGTTTATTCAGAGAGTAGAGAGAATGTGGAACTAGATCTTGCACAGAGTAGTTGGGAAGCATAGTGGCTGAGGGCTGTGGAGGCTCAATCATTGAGCAGGTTAAAGACAGAAATCATTAAGTTTCTGGGGACCAATGACATGAAAGTATACACAGGTCATGTGGGGAAATTACATTGAAGAAATGATTAGTCACAAAGTAGAAAGGCTGGGCAGGCTCAGAGGGCCGAATGGCTTATTTCTGCTCCAATGTTCCTGTCTTCCTAAAATATAGATACATTTAAGGTGAAGCTAGCTGCTTTCAGGTGCAAAAGGAAGAACAGATGAAGTAAGGAGAGAGGAGGCTTGTGCGGTGCAGAAACAATGGTACAAATCAGTTGGGCTGAATGGCCATTTTGGTGCTATGTATTCTATGGCTGGATTGTACAGTAGGAATGCTATTGAAACAATTACCGTTTTCTGCCATTGTTCCTTTGAAATTAACTATTTCTTACATGTATTGTCAAACATGAAAATCCATAAGTTATTACCAATGATTCTATATTTCTCCACAAGCTACACTGTTGAAGCCAATTAAAAATCACTGAACTGACAAGAGATTATGTTTTAATGCTATTGTCTCTCCGTAAAAGTCTTGAAAAAGTCACACCTTGTTGAATGAAGGCTAATTGGATATTTGGTGCCATATTAAGTTCATAATCGCTCCTGAACAACCTCTCTGCTTTAAAAAATGGTACATCTCCTTCCACTTTACTGGCACAGGAAGTCAGAGCCATTGATGCCACCAGTGTGTAACTGGAACCTGAGGCTGGCATCAAAACCGATCTTCTGCACACGCTGCTGTCCCATTTCATTTGGTGATCATTCTCCCTTTTGATCCATAGCCTCCTCTTCAGGTCACCACTACACTCTCTATGGCCCACTCCCTCATTTGGTACCCTGCTCACTTCCCACCCCTTGCCACCTCCATCAAAAGCCGCACTCCCAAGGATGAAAATTAGTGTAATTCAAATGTTTTAAACAGGTTGAGAGATTTGCTTACTGTCCTGCTCCATATACTTGTCTGCCCTACTTTCTCACTCCTAGAGATGATAAACGGCATTGGAGCACAGCAAAGTGTTGGGAATAGGACAGACAAGTTTTTGGAGTGGGGCAAATCGATTAATTCATTTTAAATGTTTGCTAAAACACTATTGCTCCTATTCTCTAATGTAGATAATGTTGCTATCAGTGATATCATAGACACTTGTGACTACATAGGTGGTGAGTATGCCCCCTGCAGTTGTGGAGGCAACAACTCAGCCAGTGAAAAACAATTTTATATTTGCGAAATGGTAACATTTTCCTTTCCGGAATAAAAAGTCCATACTTTTAAAAAATGTTAAAGTTTGTTTATGACGTACCTTAATCCCATGTGTACGTCCCAATCATTTTGTCATGTTTAATTTAAAATGTAAGGATAACAAATGCATTCTACTTCCTGTTTTGCTGTCCGTGAGCATACTTCAATGTGATTAGCTGTTGAATAACATTGCTGTTTCTGAAGGCTTAGAGATCCCTTTGGCTTGGCTCTAGATTCAGCCTGGTGTCAGGAAATCCATGCCACAGAGATAATTAAATCTTTGTGGGAATCTTTTCTTTTCAGATAGCACTAAACACGGTCAATTCATCTGTGACTGAAAGATCTGGGTAAATGCAATATCTAAATAAATAGATTATGTTAAATGATGCACTTTATAGTTATTTCTGTTAAAGGGTTCATTAGTTGATAAATAAATTGCCTTGACTTTTCTTGTCATGATTTACAGACCATTTGACACACGCTACAGCACTAAAGAAAATGGCCAGATATTAACTATCCTCAGTGTTGAAGATACAGATAATGGAGTATATTGCTGCACAGCGAACAATGGTATAGGGAGCTCTGTGCAAAGCTGTGGAGCCCTGCAGGTGAAAATGAGTAAGTCTTACACTTTTCTCATTAAATTGGGTTACTTAAAACAGCTCAGTTTCCATAATACAAAGACATTCATTTATATAGCATCTTTCAAAAAGAGCATCCTGGAAATGATTTACAGTGATTGAAGTACTTTTCAAGTTAAGTTGGTTTGCAATTGTTATCAAACAGTAGTGCTACAATGGACAGTAATCTGTGTTTTACTAATATTAATTGAGGGATAAATATTGGTCCACCCACCAAGGTCAACTCCTCTAGACTTCTTTGAAGTAGCATCATAGGATTTTTTTTGTCTGTCCATTTGAGAAAGAAGGCAGGAATTCACTTTCACATATTACCGAAAGGACAGTCCCTCTGGCAGTGTGGCAATCCCTCTGGGTCTTCAACCTTGATTTTGGGCACAAGTCTCTAGAGTGGGACTTATCCACACAACCTTCTGGATCAGAGGCAAGACTGCTAGCCAGTGGTCACAGCAATAGGAAACTGCAAGGTGTACCAGATATAAACTCAATTTTTTTCCAAAAGATATGCTTCAATAATTATTCCAACTAGATTTTTTTAAGGTCTGAAGGGATTAATGTTCACGTTACATTGGCTCCACCCATCCTGCAGATGTCACAGAGTCTGTGGATGGAGACCAGGAGTTCTCCTGTAGATCTCAGAGGGAACAGTGTATCTCTACCATCTCCATAAGGTCCATGTTGTACATGACCAACTATGGTCGTGCTTGTTGCCATCATGTAATAAACCTTCTTGTTGATTCCTCTGTGAGTCATCAATAGATAGCCCCAATACAAGGGTTAGACAAAGGAGGACTGGTGACAGCAGATTCCTTTAAGCGACCTTATCCAGTACCATGTACTGACCGAGATGGCAAATACCATTCAGTACCAGGGTGGTCATTGGGGAAAGTACCACAATCTGCCCTTCGCATTTTCATGGGCTTGCCGCTCTACCACACAACATCACTAAATGTGAGGCTTAGCAATAAAATCTCACTCACCAAAACAACACTCAAGACAGCCACTCATAGTTAATCCAGGCCCTTGCTCTTTTGCTTCTTCTTGCTCTCACATTTTGCGATGATTTGATTTTGGGAAGGTAGCATCCAGGATATTAGGGCTTGCTGTAATTTCCGGTGATGCCAGTACTTGGATGAAATAGAGTTAAAAATGAGCCAGAAAGTGAATGTGTTTGAATGCTTGATTCATTGAACAGTCATGTCTGATATTTGATCAGAAATTTATTTGAAAAATTTTAATTCACTTTTTTAAAAATTAATTAAGTGTTCTGTTAACATAACAGCAGACAAGTTAAATATTCACAAAATAGTTGAGTAAAAAGTTGATCTATGACGATCTAGTTGGTTCCAGCTATTATAGATGGTTGAAAAATATGAGTTCAGGAACGAGCAAGGAATCCCATTCATCCCAAATGCAGGTGTGACTCTCAATCGAAATGGCATTGCAAGGCTTCTACATTTGAATGAGTTATCAAGTTTCACTGTCTGACTTTACGTACAAGAACAGTGAATTGGGAAAATATTGAAAGCTGCCTGGCACAAATCCTCAGAAAGACTCCATTGTTACAGTTAAAGGGGAGCAAAAGTTGGATGAATGAGTTTGTCATAAAATAGAAATATCAGGAAGAAAAGGTGGCCATTCAGCGCATCATCTATGTACTAGTTCTCTGAAAGTTCTTCCAATTAGGCCTATTCTTAGTGCTTTATCCCCATACGTCCAAAATATTTCCTTTTCAATTATAAATCCAATTCTATTTTGAAATATGATATTGAATCTGTTTCCATCACTTTTTCAGGCAGTACATTCCAGATTAGAAATGTACAAAATCATTTCCCTCATGACATTTTCCAATCATTGTATTTCTACATTTGAGTACCAACTCTACTGCCAGTGCAAACAGTTTTACCCTTTCAACTCTATCAAGCCTCTTTATAATTCAAATACCTTTACTAAAACTCCTGCTAAGCTTTTCTGCGCTAGAACAACCCCAACTTCTCCAGTCCTTCGAGCTCCACCAATTCTTGCAAATACCCTTCCCTAAGCTGCTGAAAAAGTTTTTTTTTCACGAAGCTATGTGTATGGTGTTTTGGTTTCACTGGTGTGATATCTGCCAAAGTTCCAGTGGGCTGCTCTCTCTTTGGAGTGATGAGTTTAACCTAAGAGTCAACATATTTCAGATTAGGAGAGAGATTGAGAAGGTGGGATGTCCATGGTAACCTCAGTCCATGGGGGAATTGAACCTATACTCCTGATATTTCTCTGCATTGCAAACCAACCATCCAGCCAACTGAGCTAACAGATCCCCTTCACTGATGTATGGAGGTGGTGAACTTATTAAGGTTTTAACTTAGATCGACAAATACATTAATCTAGATCAACTGATACATCAATCATTTCTAACAATTTTGTAGTAATATTGCTCAAATGTCAATTTGTTTACTTTTTAATCCCTTCAGAACCAAAGATCACTCGACCACCTACTGATGTCAGAGTGTTGCTAGGATCAAAGGTTGTGTTACCTTGTAGTACAATGGGCAACCCAAAGCCAGCCATTTCATGGATCAAAGACGAAACTGCACTCAAAGTAAGCAAATAAATGTCCTTCGTAGACCTGAACAAGTTACTTGCAAGGACTACCTTTTCTGCCATTGACTCAGGATTGACGGACAAAAGTCTAGCTGAAGGACTGTCTTGATCAGAATCATTCATGCACTGTTCCTGTGTTACTATTCCATTTTGTATGCTGTCTGAAAACTTCCAAAATTGGAAAAATACAGTGACAATTTGAATTAAGTCACAGTCGGGATCTGGATCAACTTCAGTTGGGAAATAATTTTCCAGCGCACCATTTAAATCATTTGTTACTTAAATAGCACATTTTATGACTGGTGCATTGCAGCAGTAGTACTATTGGTGTGTGGTCATTGTTATAATATAGGAAAAGTGGCAGCCATTTTGTGCACAATGGCAGGAAAATGGTAATAATCAGATCATCTCTTTTTTAATGACGTTTATTGAGAGATAATTATTGGCTTGGATACCATGTGAACTCATCAAGGCTGCTCCGATAGCACCTTTCAAATGTATGACCACTCCCAGGTGGAAGGACAAGGGCAAGAAATACTTGGGATCACCACCACCAGCAGGTTGCCTCCAGGCCACGCACCATCATGACCTGGAACTATGTCACCGTTCCTTCACTGTCAATGGTTTAAGTCCCCGAACTCCCTTCTTGACAACACTGTGGGCGTCCCTGCATCACAAGGACTGCAGTGGTTCAAGAAGGCACCACGACCTTCTCCCAGGTAATTAGGGATGGGCAATAAATGCTGACCTAGCCAGTGATGTCCGCATCCCATGAATGAAAAATACACTTTGTGATATGCTTTGAAATAATGTCATCAGACCATTCAAGACAGCAGCCAGGGCCTTTGTTAAACGACTAAGGTGAGAGATGACACCCATGACAATAAGGTGTTCCCTCAGCAATGCACTGGGAATACTGACTTCCCACTTAACTATGGAAAGCCTCCAAATCATTGATTTTAAACTTCCAATAAAATTGTGCTTTGCAGAGCCAAACTAATAATGAAATGTATTCTGCTCATAGAAAGATCGTCCTCGAACCTCTGTCCTTGAGTCTGGCAACTTAAGAATTCGCAGTGTTCAAATTGAAGATGCAGGACAATATCGTTGTCTGGCAAGGAACAGTCTGGGCTTGGAGTATTCCAGATCAGTAACTTTGGAAGTTCAGGGTAAGACAGGTACTAAAGTTTTGAATAACTGGACTTTGAGGAAGTAGTAGCCATATGAATACGAATATATTCAACACCATTCTGACTAATCTATAAATGGAATTGATATCATTCTGCAAAAATCATCTATTAATGATTATATAAGAAATATGACTATCTTCTGTTTTAATGAAGATGTCAAACTTCTTGAAATAAATGCATTAATTCTTTGGTTAAAATGGATGGTCAAAGGAATTTTGATGCTTTTGATACTCACATGGTTCAAGCTCATTTCAACTCAAATAAGTCTAGATAATTAGTTCACAAACACACAGCTAATTACACTGAGGATAGAAGTTGTATCACAAATCAAAGACATTAACACATTGACAAGACTGTTTAAATGGTCAACGTTCGACCTTGGGAAAGAGAATGCCAGTTTTGCCTGAAATAATGACTTAATATTAAATCCCATAAAGTGCTGACGAATAAAAGATAACAGGTTTAGCACAGGCCTTAAAGCCTAAATCATCTGATTGGACTTTCTCAAACAATCAAATCCATCTGCAAAGTGATAAGCAATAAGGCCGTCACATCTATAAATTTCCAGATCAACACAGTGTTTATTTCTGCTAGTGTGAATATTTTGTTTGCATGTCAAATTATTTTCCAACACTTATTTGCTTTTCTCCCTCATTGTGCAGATTTTAATATGACAAATGCAACCGAGAGAGGTATTTTGCCAATTAAGATTGATGCATGTATGTGCCGTGAGTGGTGCTACTAATACAGTGAGAAAAACTTATTGAGAGGCTTCTTAATGGATGTTCATCTTTTCACTCAAAGTTACTTCAGTCCTCTATGGAAATATAGTCGAAAGAACTGGATGAAAGAAGCATTTTTCTCATTACTTAGGCTCCTCTCAATAAGAGGTTTCTGCTGAAGGTTGCTATAGCTTTTATAAATTGAAGGCACAGTGGTAGGGTTCCTGTCTCAGAGCTAGAGCTCTGCGTTCAACTCCCACTCCAGGACTTTATGGCCAAGGAAGGTGCATTAATTACATGGTTGAGAAGCTTGAGTATCCACCTGTAAATGCTATCAAAACATCGCAATGACAGGTGGTACAAGCAGGAGAGATTCCTGGAGCTTGGAGATATCACTAACTACAGTTCTGGAACACAACATGCATGGAAAAGTGCTTCTTGCCCAAGTTGGACTCCTTGCGAGCACTGTCATGCAGTTTCCATAATCATTGAGTTTGCTGTCCCCCGCTATGTTGATGTGCAATTTGCAAGGGAAGCCATTAACAGTTCTGGAGTCTCAATAGCTTATGCATGCCCAGATATATCTCGTTTATATTCTTGCGTATTCATTGCAGGAAATACTTTTATTAGAGAAGTCCATGTGTTCCACCTGACAGCATTTTCTCCATCATCCACCAATGTGGTGTTTCTGAAAAAGTTTACAAGCACAAAATAATTGCTCTGGGCATATATAAGATCCGGTCAAGCAGGGTAGGGATGTCCAAAACCACTTAATAGCTTAAGAATAGTTACCTGACAACCCAAACTAAATATACAATTCACAGGACAGAGACACACCATTTGGCCCAATTGCTCCATACAAGTCTTCTTTAACCTATTTCATCCAATCTTATCTGGATGTCTTTCTATTCCTTTCTCCTCATGAGTTTATCTAGTTCATCTTAAATACATCAATGTCAATCACCTCGACCACTCCCAGTGGTAACAGCTACCACATTCTCACCATTCTCTGGATGATGAAGTTTCTTCTGAATTTCCCATTGAATTTTGCAACACGTACTCTGAGACATGTCTGTGGCCCCAGCCTATTGGACCCCCACATAATTTTAAACAGCTTTATCAGGTCATCTCTCTGCCTCACTTTGACAGAGAAATAGCACTCAGTAAAGCAATTTAGGGAAGACAGATGATTTCATAATGACATGAAATATTTCATTGTTTCAATGACAAATTTAGTCCAAAGTCTTTAATGGATATTGCATTCCTTTCAAATAATGTCACATGAGCATGGTACACATTTCAATGCATTCTTAAAATTATCAATGAAAAGAAAGCATTGAGGAAATGAATACACAAAGTCGCTGAATGCACTAATCTAGTATGGAGCTGGAGGAACACAGCAGGCCAGGCCGCATCAGAGGAGCAGGAAAGTTGATGTTTCGGGTCAGGACCCTTCTTTTGAAATGTCAACTTTCCTGCTCCTCTGATGCTGCCTGGCCTGCTGTGTTCCTCCACCTCCATACTGTGTTATCTCTGACTCCAGCATCGGCAGTTCTTGCTACCTCTGAATGTACTAATCTGTTACATTGAATCTTAGGTACCTAACCGTATCTCAGTAAGTGTGTCGTATAGTCCAGTAATCAGACGGCAACCTTAATTTGGAAAGAATAAAAAATGGTCAGAAAGATGCAGCATGTTGGAACAACAACACTCAGCATTATAGATTCAAAGGAAGTAAAAGCAAAATATTGCTAATGCTTAAAATCTAAAATAAAAACAGAGAATGCTGGAGAAAATCAGCAGGACTGGCAGCATCCCTGGAGAGAGAAAACTAAAGTTAACATTTTGAGTCTAACTTCGGAACTCAGTTCCAAAGAAGAGTCACACCAGGCTCGATGTTGCCAGACCTGTTGCATTTCTCCAGCATTTTCTGTTTTATTACAGAATTGAACGATGCAGCCTGAATTTCAGGAGAACCTTCTTCACTTAAGCATTGATCAATGTGAGGCTAAGCTTCCCAATAGAATCAAGTCAGAGCCCTAAAAACATTTTTTAAAAAAAAATGGATTTTACAGTGGAGGAATATTAGAAATATTTCTGAAGGAGCAAATTAAGATAGGCCTAATGGCCTGTCTCATCTGTAATTATCCTGTGATTAAAGCTCCCATTAAAATAACCACTCTGTTATCATGTGCCATTCTTAATCTTGATATTGAGCTGACCCTTCTTACTGACTTGGCCAGCTATACCTTTAGGTTCATGTTAAAATGACTAACATGAATAACTCACAGTTCAAGTTCTCATTTTCCACTGGGTGTACTTCAACTCTCATCCATTCCTGAATATTCTAAAACTTTTGAATGGACCTGTCAGATGGTAATTTTGATCTCTTTCTCTGCAGCTGTAACACTGTATTCTGCACTCTGTTCTGCTACCCTGATACACTATCTTGTACGATCTGCCTGTATAACACGAAAAAAACAACACTTTTCACCATATTTTGGTACATCTGCCAACAATGAATCAAATTCAAACTCAAACATTAATTCTGCTTGTTGTAATCATGGCCATGTTGTACAGCAGTTCTGATATTCCTGCTACATCTTAATTCTCTACAGTCGCAGCAACATCAATCTCTGGCAGCTTATTCAAAGAACAAGAACAAAGAACAAAGAAAATTACAGCACAGGAACAGGCCCTTCGGCCCTCCAAGCCTGTGCCGATCCAGATCCTCTATCTAAACCTGTCCCTGTTTTCCAAGGATCTGTATCCCTCTGCTCCCTGCCCATTCATGTATCTGTCTAGATACATCTTAAATGACGCTATCATGCCCGCCTCCACCACCTCCGCCGGCAACATGTTCCAGGCACCCACCATCCTCTGCGTAAAAAACTTTCCACACATATCTCCCTTAAACTTTTCCCCTCTCACCTTGAAATTGTGACCCCTAGTAATTGAGTCCCCCACTCTGGGAAAAAGCTTCTTGCTATCCACCCTGTCTATACCTCTCATGATTTTGTAGACCTCAATCAGGTCCCCCCTCAACCTCCGTCTTTCTAATGTAAATAATCGTAATCTACTCAACCTCTCTTCATAGCTAGTGCCCTCCATACCAGGCAACATCCTGGTGAACCTCCTCTGCACCCTCTCCAAAGCATCCACATCCTTTTGGTAATGTGGCGACCAGAACTGTACGCAGCACTCCAAATGTGGTCGAACCAAAGTCCTGTACAACTGTAACATGACCTGCCAACTTTTGTACTCAATACCCCGTCGGATGAATGAAAGCATGCCATATGCCTTCTTGACCAAGCTATCGACCTGCGTTGCCACCTTCAGGGTACAATGGACCTGAACACCCAGATCTCTCTGTGCATCAATTTTCCCCAGGGCTTTTCCATTTACCACATGGTTTGCTCTTGAATTGGATCTTCCAAAATGCATCACCTCACATTTGCCTGGATTGAACTCCATCTGCCATTTCTCCGCCCAACTCTCCAATCTTTCTATATTCTGCTGCATTCTCCGACAGTCCCCTTCACTATCAGCTACTCCACCAATCTTAGTGTCATCTGCAAACTTGCTAATCAGACCATCTATACTTTCTTCCAGATCATTTATGTACATCACAAACAACAGTGGTCCCAACACGGATCCCTGTGGAACACCACTGGTCACAGTTCTCCATTTTGAGAAACACCCTTCCACTACAACCCTGTCTCCTGTTGCCCAGCCAGTTCTCTATCCATCTAGCTAGTGCACCCTGGACCCCATGCGACTTCACTTTTTACATCAGCCTACCATGGGGAACCTTATCAAACGCCTTACTGAAGTCCATGTATATGACATCCACAGGCCTTTCTTCATCTATCAACTTTGTCACTTCCTCAAATAATTCTATCAAGTTGGTAAGACATGACCTTCCCTGCACAAAACCATGCTGCCTATCACTAATAAGTCCATTTTCTTCCAAATGTAAATAGATCCTATCCCTCAGTATCTTCTCCAGCAGCTTCCCCACCACTGACGTCAGGCTCACCAGTCTATAATTACCTGGATTATCCTTGCTACCCTTCTTAAACAAGGGGACAACATTAGCAATTTTCCAGTCCTCCGGGACCTCACCCGTGCTCAAGGATGCTGCAAAGATACCTGTTAAGGCCCCAGCTATTTCCTCTCTCGCTTCCTTCAGAAACCTGGGATAGATTCCATCCGGACCTGGGGACTTGTCCACCCTAATGCCTTTTAGAATACCCAACACTTCCCCCCTCCTTATGCCGACTTGACCTAGAGTACTCAAACATCTATCCCTAACCTCAACATCTGTCATGTCCCTCTCCTCAGTAAATACCGACGCAAAGTACTCATTAAGAATCTCACTCATTTTCTCTGACTCCTCGCATAACTTCCCTCCTTTGTCCTTGAGTGGGCCAACCCTTTCTCTAGTTACCCTCTTGCTCCTTATGTACGAATAAAAGGCTTTGGGATTTTCCTTAACCCTGTTTGCTAAAGATATTTCATGACCCCTTTTAGCCCTCTTAATTCTTCGTTTCAGATTGGTCCTACTTTCCCGATATTCTTCTAAAGCTTCGTCTGTTTTCAGTCGCCTAGACCTTATGTATGCTTCCTTTTTCCTCTTTGCTAGTCTCACAATTTCACCTGTCATCCATCGTTCCCTAACCTTGCCCTTTCTATCCCTCATTTTCACAGGGACATGTCTGCCCTGCACTGTAATCAACCTCTCTTTAAAAGTCTCCCACATATCAAATGTGGATTTACCCTCAAACAGCTGCTCCCAATCCACATTCCCCAGCTCCTGCCGAATTTTGCTATGGTTGGCCTTCCCCCAATTCAGCACTCTTCCTTTAGGGCCACTCTCGTCTTTGTCCATGAGTATTCTAAAACTTACGGAATTGTGATCACTATTCCCAAAGTAATCCCCTACTGAAACTTCAACCACCAGGCCAAGC